TTTTTTTTTTTTTTTTTTTTTTTTTTTTTTTCTTGACTACGAGGGATAGAACTCCAGACCTTGTGCTTGCCAAGCAGGCATTTATGCTGCTGAGCCACCTACCTGGCCCATCCCAGAGGCTTTTGGCTCTGCCCCATTCTTTCCATCCTGTACTGCACCTCCTCTTACCATGTTTTGAAACCTTGTGGGAGTCTTCAGGCTGTGGCGTGGGTCCCATTGCTTTCTGAGAAACATTCCCTGAGTCTAGATACTGCCCCACTATGTTCCACAGCACATCTGAGGCACTTAAGTTCATCTAGTATTTTATGATTATATTTATGGACTGTGATTATATTTATGGATTGAAGATTTTCTGTATCAGTACCATTTGTCCACCTCTGGTGCCTTGTAGGTACTGCATAAAAATCTGATGGAGGAAGCAGGTGATGGGTATGCCTGAGACATGGTGTGCACTCGCTCGAGTCTGCACCCTCTGATGACTAAAGGAAGGAAAAGGGTCAGTACTGGGAGGGACTTGGGTGAAGTCCCAGGAGGCCTGTCCTGCATGGAAGCTCTAAGTGGGCATTTGCCTGGAGAAGATGGGGAGCCTCATCTGCAAGTCTCAAGTTTACAAAATTCAGCTTGTGAAGTAACTTCAAGAAAAAAAATCTAAGCTGGGCACAGTGAGACATACCAATGACGCCAGTACTCTGGGAGGCTGAGGCAGGAGGATCCAAGCTCAAGCCCAGCCCGGGCAACGTAGTAACTTAACCAAGATCCTGCATTAAAATTTAAAAATTGAAAAGAAGGGCCAAGAATGTCCCAGAGTAAGGGCCCTGGGTTCAGTGCCCAGTAGAAGGAAAAAGAAAAAGAAAAACCTTTGCGGTGATATCTGGCCCCTTCAAGGTAAACTGTAAAATACTTGGCATCTGGGAGAAATCTGACTAATTTTGAAATACCACAAGCCTGGTTTGTGGCCATCTCCGAGTGTCCACATTGTCCCTGTTGTTTCCGAGGGAGACTTCTGGCTGGCAAGATAATGGGTGTGTGTGGTTTCATTTCTATTTCTTGTAAGGAACTTAAACCTTCTGGGTATTGTATTAGAAGGGCGTCATGAATTTGCTCAGCCCTGGGTGGATTAGAAGCCTTTGTTGGCTGTGGTGGGTGCCATCATTGGTTCTCTCATTGTGGCTCCTGGAACTGTGCTGACCACATGGTGACTTCAGAGAATGCCCCCTACACCGCCTGACCTTGGCCAACAAGAAGCAGGTGGCCAAGATACGGGGTTTTCCCAGCAGTGGGTGCTCATGAATACCAAACCCGTGAGTGCGAAGGCCATGTAATAGACTGCTTTGTGCCTTGAAAGCTTAATGTGCTACCAGAAGCTACCGCAT